GCCATACACATGTGTATTACACATGTGCACATGTCCACTCTCCAAGTAGGACTTCAACAGTTGGTCTTCATATTGCACTTTATATTTATACTAGTTACACATTTTACAAGATGAAAATTATACTAAAAAGGTAATAAAACAGCAGAACAGTTTTGGTATTACCACTAGATTACACACGTAGAAGCCCTGAGTAACTAAACTAGACAATGATAAACGACAGAAACAATGAAGACTAGATCTGGTATATTTTTCCATTCCTTTAGTAACACAAAGCTATCAATCAGCTATAAGCCGAAATAAACTCTTTCCTAAGTTGCTTTTGGTCATGGTCTCTTATCACAGCAACAGAAACCATAATTAAGACACATATACACAAGCAAGGGGGATGAACTGCTCTTGACCTTGGCTGCTCTATGCAAAATAATGACAAAACAGAAACTAAATCAAATTCTTAGCCAAGAAATCCTTAATAGTTACTAAAAAGTATCAAGGTTTCATGTTTCATATTCTGTAACTATAACAATTATAAACTAAATTTACAGTATGAAAAACAACTCTAGGGGAAGTAAGTTTATACAACATGAAATTAGATTGACTCTTGAAAACAGTTCCCACTCATAAATATAATTAAAGCTGATATTATGATTAAAAAACTACTAGACACTAAAATGTCTAGAACTGGGTGCAGAGAGGTGTGCCTGTAACCCCAGCTCCTTGGGGGACTTAAGCACAAGAGTTCAAGTACAGTCTGGACCATTACAAGACCTGTTTCATAGGTAAACTATACACTAAGGAAAATATTGTTTAAACACTTCTACTATTTAAAAGGTATGTTAACAATGAGTTATAAATACAACTGAAGAACTTGAAATAAATACGATGTCAAAAGGAAGTCATGGAGAATCCAGGTGATGGCTCAAAAACCACACTTATTATACAAAAATGCTCACAGTAGATTTATTTCTACTAACAAGTCACTGACCAGAAACAAACATGTCTTACAATAAATGAATGACCGAACCTAACTCTGGTACTGCATTACTATAAAACACTGCTTCTGGGCAGTAACACAATACTGCTGATACACACATCTTGGACGGTTCTCAAGGGCTTGTGCTAAGTGATAAGGATTTATCTTAAAATGCCAGTGTTCGTTACCTTTCTCGTCACTGCAACGAAGTACTATGAGAGAAGCAATGTAAAGGAAGCAGGATGAACTTTGACCAGTGGTGGAGGGTAGAGAACATACCTCAGGGAAAGTGTGGTGACAGGAACAACCCTGTGGATGAGTGGATGACAGCAGGTTTCCACCTCTTGAAGAACAGGTCCCAGAGAACCAGATTGAAGCTGTGCTGGCCTGTAACCCAGCTTCACCAGGCAGGCCCTAACTCAAGAGGATTCCATAACCTGCACCAACTGCTAAGGACCAACCACATATGCAAATACATGAGCTTGTGGGAGGCATTTCATATCAGGCCTCAACAACCATACGCCCTGTGATTCCATGTATCCAATCTTTCAGTACTGGTGACTGAACCTAGTTCTTAGCACAAGCTACCTGCTGTAGCACTCACCAATATCTTCAGCCTGCTAAAGATTTAGAAAGCTTTCTAAAGATTTATTCATTACAGGCCCTCAGCACTGGAGCCAGCAACCAGCAATCTTTGCTTCTACACACCTGTCTTCTTAGCTTTTTTTCACTCTACCAGATGCTTCTCATCAACACACATTCTGTAATACTAGCCATCTTAATTATCTTTCTAGACACAATTACCCTTCCATCTACAGCTCCCAAACTGTCTTCCACTAATGCTTCAATATTCCCAAATCCAAACCCACATTTTCTGTTCTTGTGTCTCCCCTCTCAGCAGCCAGGGACAAGAAGGCTCTGGAGCCACAGTGCTGGCTGTGAGTCACCTGTGAAGACATGGGTGAGTTACTGACTTCTTGGTGCCAGGGTTTCTACTTTTTTTTTTTTTTTTTTTTAAACAAGGAGGATAAGAACACTATTGTGATGGAACGAAAAAGGGTTCTGGTAGGATTCCATGGGTTCTTGTGGGCAGCACTTTGGAAGTATCCGCCAAGCGTCAAGGCTCCTCTACTGTTGGTCACTGTCATTGCTGGTTGCCCTTCAAGCGTTCTCTTCTATTGGCCTGCAGGAACAACTCCTCAGTCACCCCAGAGAAATGTTCAGGTCTTTGTCTCTACTCTGTGTCCACACATAGGTCAGGTAGTTTTTGAAACAAGTACCAGCTCACATTCTTTCTATGACACATTTGGTTAACAATCTTCCCAGCCACCTATTCTTACAGAACATCTTTATATTCAGTGTGTGTGTGTAAACACACCATGCCCATAGAGAAGTCAGGACAACTTGTAGGAGTCAATTCTTTCTTTCTACCATGTGAGTCCTAGACATTGAACTCAGGTCACCAGGCCTGGCAGCAAGTGCCTTTCTTTACCCACTGAGCTACCTCATTGGTCTCTTACAGAACTTGCATGTCACTGGAGATAGCAATGTGCCCAACCTAGAGTTCCTAGCTTCCTTTATAATTAGGTGTGGCTAGGTGGCTACCTTCCAAGGAGTGACATGCATGGGAAGTTTCATTTCTCTAAAAGGAGTGAGTCCTGGAAGGCAGTGTGCTGGCCTCCTCTTCCTGCAGGATATTTCTCATATCCTGCAGAATACAAATATGAGAAATAGAGCTCCGTTTTCTTGCAGTGATATGAGACATGGAGTCTTCTTGAGGATGAAAACCTAAGGATGAAGATGGCCGATGGGCATCACCAAATCACCATTTTGGCCTTCTCTTATAGGATAAACTCTCACATGTTCAATTGATCATCTTTAATTTTGTTATACAAAAGAACCAAGTGACAAAACCCTTCTGTATAAAAACCAAACTCTACCTGGTTTACAAAGTCCGTGTGGTCTAATTCCTACTCACTCCCATGCTCCAAAAACATAGTGTCAGGCTGGATCTGCCTTGACCTTATCTTAATTCAGTCCCTCTTCCTGAATGCTCTTCTCCCAGATTTATGCATAGTAGGCCTTTCCTCTGCCATCATAGTCTCAGTTGAAATGCCATTTCCTCAGAGAAGACTTACTTGAGACTATCCATGTGGTATTTTCTCCTACCCATCACTGTTGTTTCCAGATAATACAATTTGTTGACCCTAAGCCAGGCAAATAGGAAGAATGAAATAAGCCTTTGCTGAGCAAGTCAATGCATTATGGCATTTCAAGATAATATTTTGTGGCATGCTTTGTTATCAGCTTGGAAGAAAACAAAAACAACACAAATTCTAGGTTCGTTACATACCTTGAAATACCTACAAAAACCAGTAAACAACTATGAAATAATAGGAGCAAATTTGTATGTATTTGTATACTCTTGGGATGAGACTGCCCTTTTAAAAATTTATTTATGTGTGGGTATTTAAGCATGTGCATGCCACAGTGCTTGTACAGAGGTCAGAGGGTAAGCTGGGGGAGTTGGTTCTCTCCCGCTATGTAGGACCTAGGAATTGAACTCAGGATGCATGCTTAGGGGCAGGCACCTTTATTCCCTGAGCCATCTCTCCAGGACAGAGTTACCTTAAGAGAAATCCAGAAACTGTAAGATGTACACACACACACACACACACACACACACACACACACACACACACACACAAAGGAATTTAAGAAAAAAAATTATTGCTCTATAATAGAAGGCATAGCCAAGCTCAAGCTGGCTCTTAGACCTTCCCAAGTACATGTCAAACATATATTAAAGGGCACTGCATTAATTCTTCAGTTGGTAAAATACTTTGCAAGCATGAGGACTGAGTTCATTTCTCCAGAACCCATGCAAATAGCTGGGCACACTTGTAATCTCAATGCTGTGGAGACAGAATCTACTTGTCAAAGTTCTACGTCAATGAGACCCTGTCTCAAACAAAGAGGAGGAAGGCACCTGAAGACTGACAGTGAAGGCTGTCCTCTGAATTCCACAGGCACATGCACACATGAGCAACACATACACGAACAGGCATGTGTAGCTGGAGTTTTCTCTCAGGGTCCCGCCAAGCCCCGGCACTCCCTTAACCACTTATAAAATAAACATACAGACGCTTATATTATTTAAACTGCTTGGCCATTAGCTCAGGCCTATCATTGTCTAGCTCTTACTCTTATATTTAGCCCATTTCTATAAATCTATACTTTGCCACGTGGCTCGTGGCTTACTGGTACCTTACATCTTCCTTGTCCTGGCAGTGGCTCCAGGCAGTCTCTCTCTCTGCCTTCCTGTTTCCTCAATTCTCCTGTTAGTCCTGCCTATACTGCCTGTCTGGCTACTGGCCAATCAGTGTTTTATCTATATAGAGTGATATCCACAGCAGACATGCACATGCACCAAAAAAAAAAAAAAAAGTCAAAGAACAAATTATACTAGTGAAGTCCATGAAGAACATAAACATGCTGCAATATTTATAAAGGTTATGCAAATTGGAAAAGAGAAATGAAAGAGAAAAAAAGGAAGCTGAAAATACATAGGTGAAAAATGCAGAAAGTGGCTAGGTAAAGTGGAACATTGCTGAAATCTCAGCACACTGAAGACTTGAGGCAGGAGGACCAATGTGGGCTCCATGTCTTCAGGAAAGACCTTGTCTCAAAAAAAAACACCACAGCTCCATAAAGACAAACCCAAAAAGCTCTGGTCACATCAGGTATAGTGAAGGCAGGAGGAAAGAGAAACCAAATGTTACGTTTGATACTAGGGATGTCATATACCTTGACTTTGAGAACACTCACAAGTACACATCATGTGTTGAAACACATCCAAGTCTTTAAAATGTATCTCAATAGTTTTTTTTAATTACCTTAGAAACTTATCCTCTGCAGACACAAAATACTCTCCACCTCTTTATTTACCACTGAAAATAGTGGTAATATTCATGGTTAAGTAGCTTGATAAACTAGACACTTCGCAATTTTATGTGGAATCCCGAGTTTGTACAACACACACACACACACACACACACACACACACACACACACACACACACAATGCAGAACTCGCTTGATGATGGTTTTTCTCAGGAATGGGAAGATGGCTCCACTGGTAAAGTGCCGGCCATCCAAGTATGAGAACCTGAGTGCAGTTCCAGAGGTAAAATGCCAAGACAGTTCACAATCATCTATAACACAAGTGTTTAGGGGAGAGGTGTCAGAGAGAGGCAGACACCTGCAGCTCTTTAGCCAGCCAGCCTAACTGAATTAATGACCGTCCGGTTCAAAGAGAGATGCTGCCTCAAAAAATAAGGTGGAAAGCAATTGAGAAAGACGTCTGTTTCCAACCTCTGGTCTCTATACGCACATGCATGCACATATGAGCACACATATACACACACATATACACATCATCAACAAAAATAAAGTCCCCTCATCAGTATGGGAGTACAAATTCCAATTTGAATTCATCTTTAGAAATGTATTAAAATTACCACATTTTTGGCTTAAAATTTTTATGTAGTATTCAGTAGGGGGTGGTACATACCTTTAACCCTTGCACTAGGGAGGTGGAGGCAGACATAGGTACATTTTTGATTTTCAGGTCAACCTGGTCTACATAACTCCTCCACCTCGGCAGTCTTGGAGGGTTGAAATCCATCCCATGTTATTTACTACTGAAGACAATGTTTAAGAGTAGCAGGGCCAATACAGATGGCCAAGGGTATAGGGATGCCTCCCAAACACAGGCATGACTATTTGTAAGGTGAGCCAGAGAAAAGGTAGGTGGTGGTAGTGTGCATTGGAAAAAGAAATATGCTGATTAGTAACCACAACGAACATGAATAAGAGCTTAAAAAGAAGTACACAACTAGAGCATATTCAATCTCCCTTGTAATCAAAGAAATACATATAAAATGCCATCATTCATCAAGCTGAGTAAGAAAGAAAGAAAAAAAAAAAACGGTGGTGGTCTGAATGAGAATGGCCTCCATAGGCTCATTAATGCTTAGTCCCTAGAAGTGGAACCGTCTTTGGGAAGGATTAAGTGTGGCCTTCTTGAAGGAGATGCGTCACTTGGGGTGAGCTTTGAGGTTTCAAAAGCCCACACCAAGCCAAGTGTCACTTTCTCTGCCTGCTGCCTGTGAATCAGGATGTAAAGCTCTCAGCTACTGCTCCAGAGCCATGCCTGACTGCTTTCTGCCATGATAATCGCAGACTAACTCTCTAAAACTGTATGCAACAATTAAATGCTCTCTTTTGTTAAGAGCTGCCCTGGTCATGGAACCTCATCACGGCAATGGAACAGCAGGGCAATAGGAGAACTGGGTGGACAAAAAACAATAAAAAACTTGCTAAGTATTTCTAGTAGACTCAAGAAATAATAATAGAAGCCTAATGCCTGAATACTAAGACGACTTCTCAGCCATAATACCTACTTTTTCTTATGACCCTTAGAAAATACTCAGAAAAAAACATGCACCCAAACCATACTCCAAACATACTGTGGATCTGAATGAGTCTGTGCTAGCAACAGATAGACAACAGACACTGGTGCACAGAACACTTCAGTCCCACACTGAGGAGACAACTACTACTCCTGAGTATGCAGTCCACAATCATGTTTAACTCGGCTGCATTTAACTAGAATGAATCTTTGCACAGCAACTCAATTCTTGAAATATCCTCACCCACCCCAGTTTTGGTTTTAAGCAAAAGATCATTTCCAAACTGAATTTCTTTTTTATGCCCAATAACAAATAGAGAGCGCTGGTGCCGTAAGTCTTTATATCTTTCCTAAGTCTTGGACCTTTATTTCACCTGCTTTGCTGCCTGGACCTTTAGATCAATGACTCCAGGGAGAGCTTTCTATCTATGGGATTCATTCTACAAATAACAGGTCTGAAATACTTGTACTACATGCAGCAATGGAATGTGAAGAAAAGTGGGCAAACTCAGCTCAGGTATGTTACGCTGCTATAACTAACCAGTGAGGAGATCAAAAGTTCGGGTGCAATAGTGAAACCTCCTTGACAGGAACCCAGCTGCATCACTGAGCATTATGGGACCTTAGAAAACTGCATCCCATACCTGTTTGATCACCTTCCTCATTAAAATGGCATGGCCTGACATGGTAGACACACACAATCCAAACCTCTAAAGGATGCGGCAAGGGGACTGAGAGTTTGAAGCCTTTCTGGGACACACAGTGAGACGATCTCAAAAAAAAAAAAAAAAAAAAAAAAAAAAAAAAAAAACAACCTACAACAAAACAAACTTAAAAAAAAAAAAAGATAGAATGGGCACAATAGACAATAGACAAATACTACCATGAAGTTAGACAAGGCCTTAAAAGACAGTTCAGTTTGTAGTACAGCAAGCACCCAGGAAGCTTCAATAAATGCTCACTACTACTCACTAACGAAAGGCAATTCAGTAGTTTAAATCTATGCTGATTCTCCTAAAACTCAAAATACCATGGCCTAATAGCATCTGCAAAGAGCTCAAGATTACTTCAAGTAATTCTGAAAAGAATCAGCAAAACTGTTATATAAGTGTCTGATTTTTTAGGTATTAAAGTGGTCACTTACAAAACCTTCACTATGAAACACTAATCTTTCAACCACACAGTGAAATGAAAGTCACATTAATGTATTTGGGTCCTATATTCACATGTCCTCTTGCTGAGGATAGTAAAGGGAAATGTAGTTCCTGTACAAGTCCATCTAGAGATAGCAAACAATACAAGGTTATACAATAAACCTATCAACATTAATTTATCTGAGTGTATGGGCTTGTACATGTGTACCCACATGTATATAGAGACCTGAGATTGATGCTGAGGCTTCCTCAATTGCTCTCCACTTTATTCTTTGAAGCAAAGTCTCTCTCAATTGAACCCCAAGCTTGCCCACATGAGTACTCTAGCTCACCAGTTTGATTCTGGAGGCTCTGTCTCCGGCTTCTGAGTGTTGGAGCTCTAGTTGCTGCTATTCACCTGGCATTTTAGGTGAGTTCTGGGGATGCAAACAACAGTCCTCAAGCTTGTGCAGCAAGTACTTTGTCCAATGAACCACCTCTCCATACACCACAATTAATTTTTAAAAGTTACATTCAAGTGACTCACATTTAAGTTGTGATCAAATCAAAACGACAATCTAATGGTAATAAAGATGACATAACTCATGGAACAAGAATAAGCAGAAGCCTTGTCAAGACAGACTCAAAATGTACATAAATCTAAAATTTAATGCAACATGACCAAATTATAAGTGTATTGTGAGCTACCTTTCTCTAACATTATAGAAGCAAAAGTCTTATATTTAATAAAAATATACAGAATGTATAAAAGCTCTAATCACATGTAAACTACCAAGTATAAATGAAGTAAAATGTAAGGTTTCCATACATGAAGACACCCTGTTCAGAAAAAAGCCAAGCTGAAGTAAACCCACTAACACACATATTGCAAAGGTACACAAAAATGTTTATCATTTACCATTGTACATAGAGATAACTGCAAAAATTAATATTAGAATCTTAATGAGGGGTAATACAGTGACTAGCCTAAGTACATATTACTTATGGAGCATAAATAGCATAGGTCAATGTAAATTAAATAATGGATGAGTGAAAAAACATACAATGTATTATAACAAGGAGTTAGAAAACTGAATACTGTGGAAAAGGTTTATTATTCTGTACAGGTTGGTTTTTAATAAACTATTGGCTACTTGTTACAGTAAATTATCAACAATCTCATTGTAATAGCATTTCCCCACCATTCAGAATCTGGAAGCAATACGCCTTTCTCAAATTATCATTTAGTGTTTTCTTCCCCACCTTCAAAACACAGAAAGAGGTTTTTGAATGGCAATTAGCCATTTATGGAAGCCATAAGCTACAGATAGTCATTAGACAAGCCACAGTGAGGCATCTGACAAACACTACCAACACTTGTGAAAAAAGATGTTGGGTTTTAAAAGTGGAAGTATTTGAAGGAGTTATACTGTTCATGTCCTTCTGAATCCCAAATGAGGGAAAGCCTTACTGCCATCCTGCCAGATGCCATGTAACTAAAACATTGCACCAAGGATCAGGAACCCAA